GGTACAATTTATTAAAGAAAAAGAAAAGAAAAAGAAAAGAAAAAAAAAAAAAAAAAAACTATTTTTTTGAGATGATCGGATAAAATTAGGAAAAACTTATTTATGTAAAACGTTAATTTATTTTTTCTTTCTCATAATAAAAAATTTGTATCAATGCAATCGACTATCATAGCATCAATTTTGCTTTCGAAGGGGATAACAAGTCTCAGAACTTTTAGACTTTCTTGAAATCCCAATAATATAGAGAGTACCTTTTTAAAGATCAAGTCAGATAAAAAACAAACATTAGAAGTTAGCTTTATTACTTAGAATGCTGCTTCAATGATTCCAGAAAAAGCATTACGAATAGTTGAGCGAACGTTAAAAAATTAAAGTAATACTAATAAGTATTTTGGAAATAAATTAATTATTCTAGGGGGTGATTTTTCGTCAGATTCTTCCTGCGACTAAGAATGGTGATAAGAAAATTATAATTTAACATACTATTAATTCTTCATTTTTCGGAACTCATTTCAAATTTTATGACTGAAAATCAATATTTATCTTAACGATAGAGAATTTTTAAAATTATTAGTAAAAAATGAAGAAGAAAAAATAAAAACTTAAAACATTCCTAAAAATTAGATATCAAAAGATGTATGTTCACCGATATTTTCTAATATCTATAATTGTTCGATGAATTGTGTTATACTAACATCACATAACGAGTACACCGGTTATTTGAATAATAAAAGACTTAAAAAATTGACTGGGGCAATTAAAACTTACTATAGTGTAGATAACGCAACTTATAAAGGAGTTAATAAATCGGACGATAATATTCACATAAATTTTCCGGTAGAAATGTAGAACAATATTCGTTAAAGAATACAATTTCATGAACTAAATCTAAAAATTGGTACAATAGTAATATTACTTAAAAGTTCAAGTATATCCAATGCATAATACAAAAAAAACAANTATTAATTGTTCTAAAAAATTTTATTATAATATAATCACTTCATAAGAAATTTTATAAAATAGTTAATATGGCTATTTTTAAAAAGTTTTGTTAATTTTAACGTTTATCATTGATTTTTTTAATCATAGTTATAAAATTAAATATGATTCATTAATGTGCAAAATGAAAATACAACGATAATTATTTTATAACACGTTTATGTCAAAGGCATAGGTATGAATCGTACGGGTTATTTTAATTTTGATAATATATATTAATATGCACATAAATAATTGAGGTATTTAAATATGTGTAAATTGATAGTATACATAAAACAAGTATATAAGCATATTGTTATAAGTATTATCCTGATTTAAAATTGGGTATGGGCAGTTTTGTCTCTTCGTTGTTATTATAATGCTAAATTCAGGAAGCTATTTACTTCACCTTTTTAAATAGGGTGATATTTTCACGGTTATCATTACATAATAATGGTGTAACTTTTTAATTTGAATATGTAGTTGTATTACGTGTTACGGGGTGCTCGCAATGTGGATTTAGCAATGCAGAGATTGCAACCTTAACTGTACCTGTGTTACCCCGACACTCACGGTGACACTCCCTGTAATACACAATGCGGGTCTTGCTCTATGAAACATCACCGGGGCCAAGTATCACGGCAACCTTGGATGTCGTCACCTCTCGTGACAACTTGATCATGGCACAAGGGGGAATCAGACACACAAAAGAAATAAACTCTCGTAAGTGTTGTATTAAGATAGAATATATATTCACAATAACTGTGAGGAAAAAAATTTAAGACACTCGTGGGTGTAGTGAGCGTGATGGCACGCCGAGCGCGATTTCTTGGCATGTATGTGGCGCAAAATCGCTAACCAGGCAGACTACGTGGGCTACTCGAGGGCCGCTGACCTTCACAAAAAATTTGCCTGTTGACAGGTTCTTACAGGCGCTACACTGAGATCTTAGCACCTCCGGTTGTCGAGGGGTGGTTGAAAGGCAACGAACTCAAGTCAGCAGGTGTCCCTGCTGACGAAGGCTGTAGGTCACTCGGGGTCGTTTCCCAACTTCTCGACCTGGTGTCAACCGTGGCCAGGTGCGTGCCCTTGGGGTATCTGCTCTTGCAGTGATCGTTGGATATCACTGGTCATTGGATATCGCGTGACAACACCAAAAACTCCGAAAAATCGCTTCTCGCAAACCAAAACCAACTTTTTCTTACACGTTTCAAGGCCCAAGCTAATCTGCCCGCTCCCAGCCTCTACTCATTTTTCCCTTCTTTCCCTTTCCCTTCTCTTTCTAATTTCTTTAATCCTTTTCCCCTCTTTTCCATACCTGACCTAGCTTACCTATGTGGCTTAACAGTGGGGCACCGTTACGGCCCCCCGAATAGACGTTGGATTCCGGGATATCCAACTTTACATCCTAAGTGCCATTCAGGTAGGCTTTGAGGACAATGTCCAAGGGAGAAAAAATAGGGAAATGGAGGGTAGAAAACAAAACCACCGGGTTACAATGAAAAAAAAGGGCACAATTTTTTGCCGGAAATTGAAGAACAAAAAAAAAAACAAAAGAAAAGGCATTTAAAAAACGAAAACGGAAGAAAAAGAAAAACAACACAAAAAAACTTGATGGGGTGGTCTGCCCTTGGCTGCTGAGCATCGGTTTCCACTTTTTTCCTTTCCTCGAGGCATTGGGCGTCCTTGGCGTGACGACGGTCTTCCTCATGGAGACGCTGACGTGTCTCGGCCCACGCCTGATGATAGGCCGCAAAGCTGTGGTGGCCAATCGTGGCAATTTTCTCCACCTCTGCAGTCACAACCGTGGAGCCATGCTCACGCACGAAGGCCTCCACCTCCGTGAATGTGGCGATAGCCTTCTGGCGACTTACCACAACATGGTCATGGCCTTGTTAAGCGCTCTTGGATACCCTTCCACGTGGTGCTCGAGAGCCAGCGGCTGTTGGGTCTCCTGAGCCTCTAGGGTGGACAGGCTTGTTGGCGCCGTGTCCGCCTGGTCGTTACCGCTGGGCTCAATGGAAAATTACGGAATCGCCTCGTTTGAAAGCCTCAACGAGATCGTTGGTCTCACGTTCGTCGTGGGCGTGTCTTAGGCGCCTTATCAGGCCACCCATACTGATGGTTGGCGTTGACTCCATCTGCAACAGTTCTGCTCCCAGAAAAAAAAAACAAAAAGTGGGGAGAAGAGAAAAAAATCAGGATTAGTTAAGAAGGAGGCGCTAACAAAACTAACACCTCGCTAGTTTTCACTGTCGCAAATATCGCACGTCGTATGACGGTTGATCCATCGCTTGATGGCATGTTCGGATATCGTCGCATGGTCTGCTATCGCTAACAGGTGTCTTATCAGCGGCAGATGGCTTTGACATATAGTATGATATGGGTTGATGTAAGCACACATCATTTTTATTCCGACAGCTTGATTTTTTGAGTCGGTTAAGTAATTTGATTTTCATAATTGTGTTAAGTTCTTGATGAAGTAAGAACTTCATTTTACAAGATAGTAGGGATGGATAAGGGAATGGTTACTCAAATTAGAGATAAGTAAGAGAATGAGGTGAGGAGGAGGAGCTATGGTGGTGCTGAAGTGAAGTAAAAACCAAGCAAAAATAAACGAAGAAGTATGTGAATTGAAAGGGAGCTAAGAAGAAGCGGTGGGACAGCTGGGGAAAATAAGACTTACTTTTGTCCACACAACTACATAACATAGATAGTTTTGTTAGTGAGATTTTACCATCTTGCAAGCCAACCTTACAATGTTTTTTTTTTTTCGAAAAAATTTTCATAAATTGTGTTATTACAAGTTATATTGATGGGTCACACATATTCTTACATTAATTTAGCATTATAAAATTCAGTTTCAAAATAGTGCAGATATTTAATGACGTAGTTATTTTGTGCTTTAATAAGTCTATGTAAGCACATTTATGATAATGACCGTAATGATAGAGATATACTTCCATGGTTTGTATAACTAAATAATCAAGTGTTATCAAAATTCATCAAGTAAAAGTGCATGTTATACATGTTTTCTATTTTTAAGACACAGATCTTTTAGATCTGCAGAACTAGTCAAATGTTTGATTAAGACTCACACACACAGACACCCACACACAATTACATACGCGCGTGAACACACACATACACACCCTCACTTACGCACATATTGATTCGTCAAGTGTAGTGGGCACTGTTCATATACTTTTTAACAGAGCACTGACGTAATACTTAAGTTAGTAGGCATCAATGAACTTATAAAAAATACAGACTACTTTTCCACACGTGCAAAACTGAAGCAAAAGTGAAAAGATACAAAATTAAAGTAAGAGAATCAATCTCTTCCACCCAGTGCAGCTGGTGGAGAAAGTACAGTAAAACAGTCATGGTATACCAGTATATGGATCATTTTACCAAAAAAAGTATATTTTGTGTCCTAGTAATTAAAACATCGTGTAAGGAAATATCAGTATATAAATTTTTTTTAATAAAAACAGTATTGCCTTAGTTTTTAGCAAACTGTAATGTCGATTTATGCAGTTACTGATAACTTTTTTGTTCAATTCTTCGGAGTTCTTCATGCTGATTTGGAAAGCATTTTAAGTATGAACCAATATAAATCTTAAAAGAGATTGATTACCTGCATGTTTGCTCGTAGCTGTGGCACAATGACTAACTGTAATTAACGCCCATGCATGTAGGCCTGTGCTGATTAAAACTAAGAAATGAATATCGCCTTATCAACAAATAACTTATAAAATTTTAAGAACCAATAGATGCAAAAGTTTAACTAGGAACATTAACACTGAGAAATAGTTTTAAATGCTCGAAAAGCTAGAAATTAATACATTTAGACTAAGATACAACAAAAATAATACAAAATGCTAGAACATAAAAATTAATGCATTTACTTAAGATACAAAAACAAAGCCTTATATACTACACCTGCAATAAGCAACAGCGATATATAACGTACAAAGGAGTTAACTACGGTCAACCTAGGAGAGCATAATTATTGACTTTTAAAAAAATTATCCGATCTTAACCATTCCTGCTCGCAGACGCATAACTTATCAAGTAACCCCTGTGCATTACACTAACAATTCCACAAAACAATCTGTAACAGCCTAATTTTTAATCTAGTTAAATCTCGTTACTTTTTTAAACGTAGAGGAAAATGGAAAAGTCGTAGCCCTTTTCCCTTTTTCTGACTCAGAGATGTCAAGAGATTCAGGTGTCACCTACAGTAAATCTAGCTACTATTATCTTAACATTACAACTACTAGAATTCTTATTAGTACTAGTACCGTAATGGACAAACCGTTCATTTAACCACACATTTAAACGAAATATAAAGCGATTCTTACTGCTGTAGTTTTTGCAAAAAGCTCAATTAAAGAAACAAACAGTGCCTAACATTAGAAAATAAAAGTAATAATTCATCTTTAGGTTGATATTAGGTTATAATGGAAAATCTGTAAGATTTTGATGTCAAAGAGGAAGGAAGGGCACGAGTAAGTAAGCCACCTGTTCAGCGGATGTGGGAATTTCCAATTTCTGAGTGGATAAACTATTGCATCTCTAGCTAACTAGATTTTCGAACTAAATAACTCGAACGTTTGACTGGATGGTTAGAGTCTCCCTCTGCTACCACACGGTTCTCCATAAGTGCGGTTCAATCTCAGGCTTGGACACCTCATGCTGATTCACCACATATATATCTTTTGAGTTATTAAAAATTAAAGTAAGTTTGTTAAAAATTGAAGAATTTAACCTTTTTATTCTTTCTTTTCATCGTAAACATAACTTTGAGAGATTACATCATTACTCGTTACGGTATATATTTACTCGTGACAGTATTAGTAGTTTCTAGATCGCGAAATAAGACACCTCTTGTGCACCGCTCCAGGTAGTAATGACAACCTTTATGTGCATCATAAGTGAGTGCATTGCGATACAGAATTGTAGCTGCTCTGAGCCGTTCAAACTTCATCCCCCTGCTTAAAAGTATTTGTGCCCTCTTTTGGGTTGACAAAGGTAATCATGATTGTAAGTTTTGTTACTTTGCCACGTATTCCTAACTATTTCCTAATCCCACGTCTCGCTTACAAGCTCAGTGCATGTTCTAGCTTATTAAGCGCAGTCTTAGAAATAAATTATGCGTCGTGCTGATGTTATAATACAAAAATGTCTGAATTAGCGCTACAAGCTTGTGTCTTACTCTAGATATTTTAGTTTTAACGATTATTTGAAGCAAATAACGGAGTTTTTTATTTTAATCAAATAGGATTTTAAATTCATGTAAACAACTATGACTCTCATTTTAAAAAATTGTGACGTGAACTTTTCAGCTGATAAACAGCTGTCCCGTTTTAGAAATTAAAAAGGCGAAAAGGGAGGTACTATCTGTAAATAAATACTATCACTTTCATAAATTTTACAGCATGCCAGCGCTATTTATTTTCCTACACACACTCTCAAATTCTACACCTCCTCTCTTTCTATTTATTATTTATTCACACACTGATCTTGGAATCAACGTCTTCGTACGGATACTTCCCAGTCGTCCTCTCCGCCGAACCCTCCTTGAGCTGGCAGACAGCGGCCGGTACCTATGTCATGCAAACACTTAAACACGCAAGATCAGCCACACCTCGTACTCAATCGAATTACTCTATCCTTCTATAACCCCACACACATTTACTATCACACATACAGATCGTCCCCAAAGATCTGTCTCGGTGTACCACCTAGCGTACAGTACATCTGCCTTCTCACTATCCTCACGGCCACCTGATGCTATCTGGAGCTTGTCCTAGTCATCGCAATAATCTGGTTGTACGGTCGACTCTGGACAGGTCGCTTGATGGCTGCTCCCTTCTCGTCTCTTTTCATAAGTCTGACACTTTGCTTCTCATCTCTCTCTCTCTCTCTCTCTCTCTCGATCTCTTTGACCCATCACTTTCCTGGTAACTCGCGACTCTGATCTCCACGCTCTGCTCTCTATGACGCCTCGTACGATACTGATTGCACTATGCAGTAAGTTTGCATATGTGCGCGTGCCCCTCCCTTTGCATCTCATCACCTTCAATGCTCCTAAAAACTGGTAAATCGTTTGAGGTTTCGAAAACTCGGTTCTCGACGTGACGACTCAGCCCGTGATCTTTCTCCGACGCATTGCGAGCTCATCCATCTCCCCTTCTCACTCAATCATAGTTATCACACATTCAACCTTTCTCATGGCCTTTGATCCTTCTCCCTGTTCTTGGCTCATAGTCTGCAGCACCGAGAGTACACATTAAATAATGTGTCAACAATATATATTTACATTTATATATATAATAGGACTAGGTAGCCATCGATGATTCACCCAAAATGAAGGCATACAATGCCATGGTAGCCTTATCTACCGCTTCACAGAATTAAGAAAGATTATATTCAAGACTTGGAAGCTGTTAAAGTTGTAAAACCGAAATTTGACGAAATTAATACTCCCAAGGAAAATACTCTTGCCAATACATATAACTAAATTTTGACGTTCCAGTTTAAGCGTTTTGCTTTCTACAAAGGTAAAGGGTACAGGACAAAATTTTGTCGACTTTTGCATTTCTATCAATAAGTACTCTATAGGCCCTTAAATTTGTAAATTCAATTTTTTCAAAATCGAAACTAGAAGCCCGTAATACTATAAAATCTCATGTTACTTTGTGAAGAGTTTGATTATCGATTTGGATGGGGGTGGGTTAAATTAAAGCTATTTTGTATAAGATAAGGGTGTAGTGATACAGTTTAATTTTCAGTAAGTTGGCTGCAATCCTGAATTCTCCGGCAGATTTATAAGAGCCCGTAATTTTTTTTTGTTTAGTTCCCAGAACGCTATTTCATGACGATTAAAAATGCACTGTACATTCAATAAGTATTGGATTATTGGTTCAGATTGTGACATGTACAAATGTTACCAGTAAATAAAGGACATAAATGTAGAAACAAAGTTTAATTTTCATGGAAA